CTCGATGACCAGCATCCTGTAGTTGAGCCCAAAGCACTTGTAGCTCTGCCAGGTGCTCATGTACGTACAAGTGTCTCTGATCACACCTGCAAAGGGAAACCAGCAACATCAATGCTAAAAGAAACTCCCATCATTCTAAGCACCCTCTCTTAGATCAGCATAAATAATAAACTGTCCTCAGATGTACCTTTGTAAGGAGCGATTTGATTCATAGGTATTCTGCTGCCATTGAGAGAGGTGAGCATGACTTTAGGGATGCGGTAATCACCCAGTCCGTGCCGGGGATCCCCGTTCCACTCGTACTCAGACTGGGGCACCACTGCTCCCATGGCACCCAGGAAACTGCCATCCAGATCCTTCAACATAGTCTTCTTCTTAGCATCACAGTCCATATCCACACAGTCCGCAGGGTTCACCTTGCTGAGATAAAAGAGAATGAAATAATGCAATGTTATGTACACATAATATAATACATTGACTAATGATTTTTGGACATACAGTCTATAGCAGGGGTGCCCAAACTCGGTCCTGGAGGGCCGGTGTCCTGCAGATAGTGCTTCCTCACCTGTACACGGACTGTTTTGCTAGAGTATGCGTGGCTGAGCGAAGGAGGACTGTAGATTAGAGACATGATTCCCATTCCATTATCAATCAGGCTCACGTTGGAAATGAACACATTCATGGATATCTGGAAATGAGGAGAGATCATTAAGTAAAAACAATAGTAATCACCAGACCAGTATAATGCATTTGTATAACTAGCAATTATAGTAGGAAGTTTTTGGATCATTTATCATACTTGAACATAAATGCCAAAATCAAAGCTCCTCCAGACAGTGAATCCCTGGATTTGAGAGCAACCAGGAAGTCCTTCTTTATTCATGTAGAGGCCATACAGACCGCCGTGCGCCTCATTCTGACTCCATTGTGCTACTGAATTTGGAGATCCTTTTGACATTGTTGAAATAATTGAATCAGTAAATATTGAACATGAAAGGTTCCTATTAGGGATGCTGTCAATATTCGATTTTTTGCTTGCTTAATTATATCTGCTGGTATATGTAATTGTGCATGCTTTTTCCATCATCTAATACTGTATATACTATATCTAGTCTAATACAGTAATAACACTTAAATGTTATTTTTTAAATTAAATTTTTTTCAGGCTGTACATTATATAGTTGTGATGTCATGTAGCAATTAAAACAATTTTAGTTTTAAGTGATTTATTTTTTTATTTAGACAAAATAGTATATAATTTAATATCTGACATTTAATAGGAAATTGGCCATAACATGCATAAATGATCAGCTTATCGGTATCAGCCACAATTTTTAAATTGTGCATTCATAATTAATACTAAACAAGTATTTAAGCATTGGAATTAACACCTTATAATGAACACTGTCACTGTTTATCAAAAGTATTTAATTAATTTCCTCTTTTAAAACAAAGTTTTATATACCTGGACATGGTTCTCCATCAATTCGGTATCCCACACGTTCATAGCCAGCAACAATATTCCCTTGAAGAATCACATTGGTTGCCTCACTCACCTAGGAAATGAACAATAATACATCAATTCTATTTATCGATAATTATTCAGCAAATACATTCCTCTCTATTGTCACTGTTTTTTGGACATGTAACATGGTATTACTGAATTACCATCTAAATAACATGGTAAATGTATAATGGTAATCATTCTGTATTGTGTTAAAGTACCATGGTATTACCATCCGATCACAGTACTTTTCTGTAAAGGGTACCTCAATGGCTGCATTCCATTCAAAGTTGAATTCTTCCGCTCTGCCATTGTACGATCCAGGCCACAGTGTCATTGTAACCAAGTTCCTCCGGACTACATTTCTGTCACCCCAGACTCTGATTCCTGGGAAATTAGAATTGAAATTGCAGACTAGAATAGATATAGTGCTAAATTATATCACTCTGCTGCATAGTGATTACATTGTTTAACAGTATTTTCCTTTTGTGTTCACATTGAACAGTGAAGCTACCACTGAATCTGTACCTTCTCCAACTGTGTGATGGATCACGTTGTCTTCGATACTCAGTCCATCTGTCCCGAAAACACCGATAGCAGGAGCAAAGCCGTTGTGGAAAGCACATCCCTTGATGTAAGACTCACCAACCACCTAAAGATATTGTGACAATAAGTAGTTGACAGGAATATGTGTGAATGTGATGATCAAGAATGGGCATGTACTGTTCAAGAATTACTCTCACCCTTCCCAAGTTATAAAACACCAGAGAGTATCGTGGGTCTGACAGGTCGTTCCATCCCTCCTGCCCGGTGTTGTAGAACTGAACATTTCTGATCTGGGCTTTTCCTGTGATTCAAGTATCATCAACATGAATGAGTTTTTGTTACTTGCTATGTGTTACTGTGCTATGTGCAAATACAGAAATATTATATTGACATGAACTTCTTTAAATAGAATTGCTTTCTTATTTAAAACAACAAAATTTTTTCAGGTTTCTCTCATTTTCTTCCGGGTGAACGGACCTTATGGTTTTGTGTATAATTTGTCCTGCTTGTATTTCGAGAATGAGTCCCAACATGAGAATTTTCTAAAGTTTATACCTCTGAAATCGATTACTCCGCTGAAGAAGGTTCCCACCAGAACTCTGGCTCCATAAGACTGTGTGTTCATTTCTGGATACTCCTGACCAATGATCTTGATGTTCCTGGTCAGTAAAGCCACATTGCCTGCAAGCTGATAACTTCTTGAAGTACCTGGCACACTGTAGCTCTCCCCTATGTGACCAGATACATTTAATATTAAATAGAATGTATTTAATACAATTATTTAATTATATACTACCGTTCAAAAGTCTGGGGTCAGTAAGATATTTTTTAATGAAATTAATACTTTTACTCAGCAAGGATGCATTAAATTCATATAAAGTTACAGTAAAAAGATAATTTTATAAAAGATTTTTATTTGAATGAAATGCTGTTCCTTAAAACTCTGTAGATCAAAGAATCCTGAAAAAGTGCACGGTGTGCACAAAAATATTAAGCAGCACAATTGTTTTCAACATTGATAATAATCTTGATTAACAAATCAGCATATTAGAATGATTTCTGAAGAAAATCTTTGTCATTAAAGAAATATATAACATTTTAAAATACATTCAAATAGAAAACCGGTATTTTAAATTGTAATAATATTTCACAATATCACTGTTTTACTGTGTTTCTGATTAAATAAATGCAGCCTTGCTGAGCATAAGAGAGTTCTTTCAAAAACATTAAAAAAATCTAACCAACCCCAACAGCTTATCAATACAGCACAATGTCTATTATTACTATAATGGATCTAGGGGGACTAACCAATGTGTGTGTATGATAAAGGCTGGTCCAGAGTCAGTGTGCGGCCATAATCCGAGACCGCAGTTATGGTGCGGATTTCCGTCTGCCAAGGGTCATAGCTGGTGGTGGATAGCAGGATCTTATCCCCAACCTGGAGGTAATAAAAGAGTGTTTTTATTCAAACAAAGAGGATAACGATTCAGAGCACGGAATCTAAATGGCATCGGCAAATCACACAAGCAAGTTCAGTAGTTTTCTAAATCTCTCCGTTCTATTCTATTTTTTGTAATTTTTAAGAAAGCTTCTGACCTTCCAGTCCACAGATTCCTGTAGTGAGATAGTGCTGTTTCCTGCTTGTTTTTATTCAAACAAAGAGGATAACGATTGAGCACGGAATCTTAATGGCATCGGCAAATCACACAAGCAAGTTCAGTAGTTTTCTAAATCTCTCCGTTCTATTCTATTTTTTTTAATTTTTAAGAAAGCTTCTGACCTTCCAGTCCACAGATTCCTGTAGTGAGATAGTGCTGTTTCCTGCTTGGGATGTGCTAGCAAGCTTAGTGTGATATACATTGTGCGGCATGCCATATAGGTCAAGAGATCCAAACACACCTAAAAGACAACATTTCAACTGAAATCGACACTTTTAAGTTGCCAACGATTCATTCAATAATGAGATTTCTTTATTTTTACCCAGCACTTTGGACCCTTGATTTAGTCCAGATGGTAATAGCCAGTCTGGTGTGGAATGGCTTCCTCTCAGTATGATCTGTAGTTGACCTCTGAAGGGTTCATTAGGCCAGCCAGCAATCAGACGTCCACCCTGATTGAGTGAACATGTACAGATTGAGTTAGTGTATTTAATATGGACCGAAATGGCTAAATTAGTACACAGGAGGAGTCTGGTTCTAGTTGGTGTAATGATCCCAAGATGTCTACGGCAATTTGAATGTAGTTACTGTATGTACTTACTTGAATGGATATGTATGTGGCATTCAGAACAATGTTATTATATTGAGAAACACTGCTGGTGGAGGTGACATTGTTTGTGTCTGGAATCTCCAGAACTCCAACTATTTTCAGCTTGTTCAGGGAGGGGACTACAACATCCACAACCATCCAAATGCCTTTGAGACAGAATGAGATATTTTACTTTTTTTTTTGGCCACTATAAAGTTGAATGAAAAATAGCATACCATATTGTTGAATAGCTTTTTCTTTGCATGGGTTTTGTGACATTAGAGATGCTTACCAGCTGGAATAATCACATCAGAGCCTTCTTGTGGCACATTGAAGTTGTTCACTGAGCTTGACCTCCAAAATGATGTATTTGACCAGAGACTAAACCCAGCATGATATGTTTTATTAGCAAAGCCAATAGTTACAATAGATCATTTGATTATTAAATGAAAACAACATTTCTGAGCATGTGTGTGGTAACATACACATAGATGAAGTTTGCAGGTCTGAAGGATGAACTGGATGTGTTGGATGAAGTGACTACAGATTCAGGCAGAGGGAGAGGCTGGATACAGTTGGGATAGTAACACTGATACACTCTGAAGTCCAGCCACCTGTCTACAACTGAGCGTTCCACACTGTTCCTCTTCCTCCGGCTAGTCACACGGTCTCTTCCAGAAACTGTAGATAAAAAACACTCAATCTTCTAAAAATAATACTTTTCACAGTACTGAGCAGCATGATATGTATTCTATTTAAATACAAAGATGTCTTGGGTGAAGAGATGAGAAGTTTTACCCATGTAATAGAGGTCTTTGTATGTCTGGTTGAAGTACCAGTCCCCATTTACATTCGCAGTGGGGTTCAGGGACTGGGAGGATCCATTCCTGTCATCTATAATGTGGAACCGGTCAGGTCTCTGGGTCAGTTTGTGGTTGATTATTATATAATATTCTGGCTGTCATGGAGAAAGGGAGACAAAAACATGAACGTTATATATGGCACGAATTGTAAATTTAGCATTTAAGTCTTCTGGAGACATACAATAGCTTTGCAATTTAAGTCAGGGATTTTCAAACAGGAAAATAAATTAACTTAAAATATAAAACATTTTTTTTAAATATAATGTTAAAACAATAGGAAATGCAAATTTTTAACATGCTTCATTGGAACAATATATTTTGTGAAAATTAAATGAAAATATTTCTCTTCAGTTGTATACTCTAACATGACATAGTGGCTTGAAATATAGATAATATTTTAATAATTTGCATTGCATGCTATCCATAAAACTACCAAATGTATATTAGAAAAATTACACTTTTTAATTTTTAATTCTCACATAGTATAAATGTCTTTATACATCAAAATATTTAGTATATTCATTTTAATCCCATGCATCAAAAAGTTTTCAAATAGAGTATGGAATCTTTTTTTTTTTTTTTTTTTTCATTATGAACTGTTGTTGCATGACAAGAGCTGTAAAGACTTTAAAAAGGGTATGTAGATGTTGAACTTTTCCTTTGAATGTACATTGGATTATTGTGTAGTGTGCACACTTTACCCGAAAGCCGTAGACCCTTCCATTGTATGAGATGTTGGTGATTTGGGAAGCACCATCAAAGTACCAGTTGTATGTTTGGCCTGTGGGCAACATTGCCATCCAGCCAAATGTGTGGGTCACAAGTTTTTGAAGGAAAGGAAGCACACATGTCCCTAAAGAGAGATATGACATTGAGATTAACTGTGCCAACAAAATTTTTTTCTAAACATCACAGCACACTTCAACTTAACACACAATGTTCCCATAATGTTAGTGTATGATATCTTTAGTTATTTTCAGTTTAGAATCATTTTGGAGGGCCAGTTCCTTACATTCTAAGGTGCTGTTCACAAGAACTCGCTTTTGCATTCCACTGCTCTGCTTTTCCATTGTTTTTCTGTAAACATGCACTAGAAGGATGTGTTTGACCATTGTGTTCGCATCTTGGATATTCTGCAGCGTGAGTCTGCGTAACATGTTTTAAAAACTGGTTACTCTAGTTAAAGAAGTTTAAAAAAAAAAAGCTTTTTTTTATATATTCCCATGTCCTGTGACTTGTGTTTTTTTAAATGCAAAAACGTGATCTACATGAACCTAAGACCTTTTTTTACAAATTTTTTTTTTTTAGAACATTCTGGAAACCAAAGAATGTAGCTGGGAAAGTACATGCAGTAAGAGTGAATTGTATAGAAAAACATGCATGCACACTTTTTTCATAGCTTAAATGCTCAGAGTTGATTATTACACCATACCATATGAGTTGGTAAGAATGACATCTTTAGACTGAAGTGAAGGCGGTGAGGGATTGGCGACGACCATGCGGTGGAAGTTAATGGTGTTGTCACATACTGCAGCAGGGACGCCAACACTCCACTCTGTTCCCGGGAAGCAGCGTCTTGGGTCGAGCAGATTACTCCTTGGTACTACCTTGTAGCTAACATTGCCTTTTCAGAAATATAAAATATTTATATTCATTGATTTATTAATTTATTTCTTTGGCAATGTAGGTTGTTTGTACCATGCTAATAAAGCTATTTGAATCTTGAATCCAAGATATTGTTACACGGATAAATTTTTTTCTTAAGTTATGTATATAAAAATACTGTAATATCTAATGCTTCTATACCTGTTAGTGACCCATCAGTATCTACCAGCGCCACCTCATGCTCCCATCTGAACCAGGCCTTGTTGGGTGACTGATAGTACTGGATCCCACTGAATCTCGCGCTCCAGCCTCCACAGCGGAACATGCAGGTTCCAACTATTTCTGTCACCCCGACTGCAGCACACGACGGACGGTCGAAGTTCACAAACTTGGTGTTGATGATGCTCATACCATCATCCAGGGGCAGGACAACACCACGTGCGGTGCAGTAGTGGCTCCCCAGTCCCAGCTCATCCATGTGGCCCACCATGGTGCTGTTGACCACAGCTGCACCTCCATCCAATCCCCATCCGCTGACGTACTGCCAGATGATCCTCTTGGCCTCCACTCCTGCCTTCTCATTATTGACCATCAGGAACTCGCTGAACTGAACCGC